TTGTAGAAGTTCAAGAAAAAAAAACCCATAGAAATTCAAATGGTAAAAGTACAAGTCGTAAAATGAGAGAAGTTCAGAACATCGTTGTAAAAAATGTTAAGTTCAAAAAAAAAAGAAACAAACAAAAAATTTTCTTTTTGAATAAAATATCATTCAGTTCGATGACATAAACTACATAAGTACAGGGGCAATGCTTCCGTAAACCATTGAAACTTTAAGAGGAAAACCTTACCCAAAAAACAAAGTAAAAGTTTAATCTGTGAAAACGTGCTTAGTACAAATCCATACGGAGATCAGTTCGAGTACTTTGTTTTCGGAACGAAAAAGAAAAATACGACAGGTTTACCGTATTCAAAATTACTTTGTGAAATAATACATCAGTAATAACACACAAAAAAATCAGTACAAGTACTCTGTTTTTTTAAGGAAAAACACCATGATAGATCTCACCGTAATCCAAATTACTCTTCAACGACTGCAAATATGAGAAAACATTCAACATGACTAAGTTTTGCATTTTTGATAGCTATCCAACGGTATATTATTTGTCCCGTTTCGACAAACTTTTAAAAAAATCGCGTTCAAAATCAAATTTGACCGTATTCGAATTCGTTTTTAAATCGTAAGGAATTAGAGAAACATTTCAATACGAAAAAGTTGCGCATTTTCCGTAGCTTTCCGACGCCGTATGATTTGCGTCAATCCGACAAACCGTTTGCAAAAAATCGCGAAAATACGTTTCTCCCGGAATTTTACCGTTTTCCAAATTACTTTTAAATCGTATAGAATTGGAAAAAATAATAGATATATGAAAGATGCGGATTTTCACAAGCTTTCCAACGTCATCTTATTTGCTCAATTCCGACAAACCATTTGAAAATTGTGTCCAAAATACGATTCACGTTTTCGGTTTTGAAAAAAAGGTTTTTCCAAAACTGCTCTTAAACCATAATGATTTTGCAAAAACGTTCGATATACTTGAAATATGGTTGTCAAGAGCTTTCCAGTGATATATTACACGTCCTGTTCCGACAAAAAAATTACAAAAAGTTTTTGAACTAAAGAAGACGATCTGTTAAACACAACTGAAAGCATCAGTTCAACCGCTTTGAAAACATCAGTACAACCACCTGAAACGGTCAGTTCAAAAAGGGTAACAGAATAATATTATGTTACGTTACGCGTAACAGAACAGCCCAGATGTATATATATAGAGCATTTTTAATTTTTGAATCATGGCAAATTTCTTTTTTGTGTGTCTAATTTCTTCTTTTCGACAAAGAATATATAGAGCATGGCAATTTCATTTTTTATATCATGGCATTTAAATTTTAAATTTCATGGCATTTTTATTATCTCAATTATGGCAAACAAATTCTTTGATTTTTCTTTTTTAGATGTTTTACTTTATATTTTTTACTAATTTTAGCACATCATTTTTTGTTTATTTTTATGTAATTCATGTTGTTTAAAATATAATGGATGACACTTTTAATAGGAGTTCGAACCTAATCATTATTTTGGCCCATTTTGTTTCTTTT